CCCCAAAACCCCAAAACCCCAAAACCCCAAAACCCCAAAACCCCATCTCTTCTTTGGCTTATTGAAACAGGGCTCTTATCAATAATTTAGTTGGAGTATTATTAGAGATATGAAAACATTTCTTTATTCACCAAACCTAGAGAGTAAGGTTAGAAGTTGACTACAAAGCTGAATTATGAGCTAAAAAGTGGCAAGAAGGGGGACAAGGTTAGAATTGAAGGCTTACCTCACATAGACTCTCATGTATCAGGGGAGTTCTTATTAAAGCTATCACTTTCTTCATCACTCACATCATCGATTTTATTAAAATTAGGCAGCGATGGTAATTCTCTCAACTGACAATAAAACTTCGTTGTGTTATGAGGAGCAGGAGGGCAAAAAGAGAATATTGGCTTTAGCATTGATTTAGACCTCTTCATTCTAAGGCTACTTTCCATATCAAGATCGAATGGATCATCAACTTTGTCAAGATCGAGGGAAAGATCGTTCTGAGTCTTTATTTTCTTCATCACAAGTTCCTTAAATCTGAATGTATTTAGGCTCTGGGATTTTTTGATGATTTTGATATCTGATCCTTCATCATCTCTTTTCTCAAAGTTAAGTAAGGGCTTTTCGGAGTAAAGGTTTTCTACTTCAACAGTGCTAGAGGGTACCTTTCTTTTTAATCCACAATAAATGTTATTCTGGCACTTAGTCTGATTGATCCCTTCTTGCCTATTCTGGATCTGTTTCGTCCTTCTTACTTTAGGAAGCGAAGGTTTTGATACATTGTCTGTTGGCATATTTCTTGACTTTAAATTTAACTGAACTCTATCAAATTTATGATCATTCTCCAATCTCTGAGGTAATCAATAGTGATTTTTACCTGAGGCTTGTCTTGGAGGGGAGATTTTGGAACTTTGATTAAGGCTTACTTCTATTTTGGTAATTTCCTTTTCTCCACCTGTCTCACAAGCGTTGACCTCATTTTCATCCTCAAGCTTCTCCTGTATCTTAACCATCTTATACCGATTGCTTCTCTCGGGATGGAGTGGCTGCTGGATCTATAAGTTTGAAATTATAAAAATGCTCAGCTAAATATAGAGAAAGAGCCATACCTTTGTTTCTGGGGGCTGAGATGCTGGAGCATTGGTCTCCTCTGTGCTATTGACTCTTTGGAGGCTATTCTTCTCGACAATAGTATCAGTTGTTTCGAGTAAATGTTTACCATTTTCTGTGTGCATTAGGTTATTCATATTTTAAGTATTTAGGCTACTATAAGATTTCAAAATTCAATATAATGGGAGAACTAGGGGTTTTGGGGTTTTGGGGTTTTGGGGTTTTGGGGTTTTGGGG